AGGAGGCCTCCGTGATTTTTCTCCCTTTCAGAAATCTAGGGTCATTCAGGAAGCTAAATACCCATATACCTTCTGTGGTCATCTTCTTTTTTTTGCTTTCCTTTCAGATTTTTAGACATTTAAAAATATTAGAAAACAGCATTGCTTCCCATATTTATAAGACACTATCCAAATTCTTTATAAACTTAAAAAACTATGTGCTGTAACTTAAAGATTATCATCATTGTTGACATTTAAGATAAAACTGCAGTTAGAAGAAGGTGTTGGCACATGCCTACTACAATCTAAACCTCATGGAGGTCGTGATGAGGACATCCTCAACTACACAGTGAGTTGAATGATAGCCTGAGAAAAATGGGAACTTTTCTCAAATATTTCCAAAAATTAAAATGTAAATGAAATAAAATAAAATACTGTGTTACCTTTAAAATTTAGTTGATGGCCTCCAAAAGTTAAATATTACAATGTAATTTTAAAATCTCTTAACATTTGGAAAAAATGTTTTTTTTACAATTATGCTTTCATTCTATACAGAAAATAAGTTTTATTCAATGGCAATATAGTTTTATTCTTGGAATTTTTTAAAAGTACATCATAATTGTTTTGTTTGTTTGTTTTTCCAGACAGGGTTTCTCTGTATTGCTTTGGAGCCTTCACTGGAACTCTCTCTGTAGACCAGGCTGGCCTCAAACTCACAGACATCCACCTCCTTGGCCTCCTGAGTGCTGGGATTAAAGGTGTGCACCACCACAACCGGCCTTACATCATAAATTTTATAAGAAATTTTGTATAATAACAATTTTATATTTTTTTCATAAATTATCATGCCATCTTGTATTAAATTCTAGATATAAGAATATACTATAAATCTTCACAATTTTCCATTAAAATAACATTATATCAAATACCTTTTGTTTGTGAGATTAATGGGACTTTAATTAGGTCATAAGCAGCTTGAGAGATTTATCAGCAGTTAGTGATTATTAACTGCTTTTACACAAGAATCTACTTCAGTACCCAGCACCTATGCCAGGCATTCCATGGCCACTAGTTATTCCATCTCCAGGAGATAAAAAAACCCTTTTGGCCTCTGAAGATATGCACACACAGACACAAACACACACAAATGCACTCATATGTACACACTCACACACACACACACGTACACAACGCACAAATGCACATCCCAAATTTTAAAAAATGAAATTTCAAATTTAAAAGCAATATATTTTTTAAATTAGCTCATGTGTCTGTGGACATATGTCATTTATAGTAGGCATTATGTTAAAAATGAGATAAAGCAAACCAATATTCTATTGCCTGCTATTTTGCTTGTTCTAGTTTCATATATTGTAGATACATGTTTTCAGTTATTTTCTGAAGATCAATGTATGATGTTGAAAGTTAGCAAATGGGCATAGTGGTGCATATGTTACTCTCAGCACTTAGGAAGCAGAGGCAGGGAGGTCTCTATGAGTTTAGAGACAGCCAGAGCTGCAGAGTGAGACTTTTCTCAATATATACATAATAATAATAATAATAATAATAATAATAATAATAATAATACATACATACATACATACACACACACACAGTAGGAGTTCCTGTAATATATCTCTAATGGATGTCAAACCTTGATATTTTACTTTGGGTAATAAGAAAATAGTAATACAAATAGTTAAAATATTCTGTTAATTACCATGATAAATTTGCATATACTTTGTCTAGCTGACAACATATAATTTTGTTTTTTCTAGGAGAATAAATTCATAAATAATAAGGTTGGGACATATAACATTATAGTTACATATTCATATGTACATATAATGTTGTTACCAAAATAATGCATAATTATTTTGTCATTATTCCTAAGCAAACAAGAGCAATATTGTACTAAATGAATTAATAGGGGGATTTCCTCCTAGTTAGACCAAATATTTCATAATAAAGTTTAATAACGTAGGTTTTATTTCATTTAGAACAATATAAGACTAATCTATAGGAATTAAAGAAATGTGGCATTCATTAATTTACTTAACATGTTTTTATTTGTTTGTTTTTCTCCCCTGTTCATCTGCAATACATGTTTTAAAGTTTGGTTGCCTTAAAAGCTTCCCATTTATCTGGAATATGATTACCGTCACTAATGTTCCCTGTTTTGGCTGTTTCAAAGTAGATGATAACTGAAAAATAAAAATTTTGAAATTCTAATTTTGAAGTCATTTTTAAGCATAGGTGTTTTCAGCTAAGTAAGGAAAAAACTTCTAAATGAGACATGATTGCTCCTGTCATATGACTCTACTAAGTCATTGACTCACAAACACTAAATAGTCTATGAACCAAGCTTCTCATGTACCCAACAGATACATTACACAGAGCCAGAGGCTCTCAACTTTAATGCTTTTTGGTTGAGGTTCTTGAAAATTGGAAATATACAAAAATATATTTCTTTATCTTGCAAAATTGATCTACTGATATTCAAAATATTAGTATATTTTGAAGGAGACAAGTCTTAGAAAATATTTGCATGGCACTTATTTCCTGTACAGTTCTCTACAATCTCATGCTCTTTAGAAAGCAAAGGGGTGTGAACACATCCACAGTTCACACTCCTGTGTGAGATGACTGGTCAACAGGACAGTACTAGACAAACAAGGGACAGAAAATGTACCTTCGTATAATGTATTACTTTCATAGGTAATTCTTTTAGAGAGTTATATAATAAAAATAATTTTCTCATGAATTAGTAATTGTGATGTTCATTATGGAGTTTTTGTAAGAGAACAAAATTTTTAAAAACTGGAAACTTGAAAACGAATATGCGAATATGCATCAGTTACATAAAGATACATGAAATGACCTAAGGTATCTTTATACATAGCAACACACACCACAAAATAGCATCCAAAAATTTCATCCATTTTAATAGCCTGTTTAATAATCAATCTTTGCAACCTTGAGAGTAGTTGACTGGGCCATTATTCCCACATCAAATTAGAATTGCAAGATTCATTGACAAATAACAAGGTGACAGAATTCTTTTTCATTTTGGTAAGAACAGATATATAAAGTTAAATAGAAATACAATTTTAAGTGATTAAAATAAATTCCTAGGGAAGACACTGGGGAGTCAAACAAAATACACTGTGGTCTGGGTTAAGTAAAGTAATGGATAAACAGTGAATATATGTGAGTTGGAAAGCATGTTAATGGAGTAATTTAGATGGGGAGAAATCAATTAGCTCTTATCAGGAGATTATCATTCTAGGCTACTGAAGAAAGACTTCTGAATTTAAAGTCAATTATCTTTCTACTTTTAAATATGAAATGATTCAAAATATTAGTAAATATGGTATATAAATTCCTTAGATTGTCCTGACTAATGCCTTTCCTGACATTTGGAGAAGTCTCCTAAACAACTACTGGGTAGAATTTTGTTGTTGATTTGAGAAATCAAGGCAGTGATGGGAGGAGGAAAATTACTTAAACAACTTTGTGGATCTATGCAGTATGCTGCTAATTTCAAAAAAGTTAATTTTAATCACAATGTGAAAGTCAAATCAGAAAGAAGACACATTTTACTAAAAAGTAAATATTATTACATAGAGGTAGAATGTTATTTTATAATAAGTTTGGTAATTCAATTTATAAGTAAGAGTAACTTTTCCACTTGATTTTCTCTCTCCATGGACAGTTAAAATAGACAAGTACATGAGTTGTCATTTTCTTACAAGCAACAGCTCATTAGGTTGAAGTTTGTCTATGTCCTGGTCAAGAGCTATTAAATATCAGTCTTGGAAAGACCCTGTTCATGACATCACAAAGTTTACATATTAATCTAGAATTTCAAAGCTTGAACTTGATAACTGAATTCTGACTTGAATTTTTCAGTTCTCCTCCTGCCTTTTGAGGTCAGAATAATAGCCTTTCTCCTCATAGAAATTCAAAACCACAAGTTTTTTTAGAATGGTCTTGCCACACTGGAACCTCACTAACTCAGTACTTTTTGTCGTGGTGGAAATCAAAGGTTCTAATTTTCTGCCAACCAGTATTGAATTGACCACCCGCTCAACTGGCTCACTCACACCTAAGTCTGGTCTGGATGTATTGATTACATTCAAACCCAAAGATCCCATAGTGGTCTTTGGAGAATAACTTATACTGCGTAGATAAATAAAGGGTATATTCATCTTCAACTTAACAACTACAGTGGAATACAGCAGGGCCTATGTTTCACTCATACCAAGTGTACTCAGGTTGGTAGTCTTGGTTTTTGTCACTATTTCCATGGATGTTTCCTATGCTTGATTAGAAAAGTCTTTTTTCCTTTGAGGTACTTGTTCCAAAGATGTACCATTTTTCCCTGAAGCATGCTGCTCCCAACTAAAATCAATCACTAAATCCCTAGCTTTGCCTACAAGAAAATACTCTACATCACTTCCACACACCCCAGGCAAATTCT